AATATACGCTCATTCCCCATTATTCTTCAAAAAATGCCTAAAAATACCTGATGATCTCCCAGAAATCCAGTGAGCGCCTTACCTCCTGAAGAGAATTGACAATGCCGCCGCTGCCGCACTGAAATCCCAATCAGTGTTGTCAACCCTGATAAGTACTTTTTACATGGAATACAGCACACCTACCCCTCTCTTCATCTCCATGCTACCCATAAGGGGTGGCGTTCTGCAGTCCAGAAAATTCAGGTAATCCCACTACACACACTACTCCAATCAGCAGTGCTCTAACTTCCCAAGCTGTTGCACTGTTGATTGAAGAAAGGTATAGGGAGTGTTTGAACACTGGAGAGCGTAATGTCCATGGTGCTGCCAACACCTGTTGTTTAACCACTTCTGCAACACCCAGGAGGTTATTTACTATTGAGCCGAAGGATACAGCCATAGCTTTGGCTTCGGCCGCTGAACTGAAGGGCTGCTGTACGGACTATTCACAATAGCTGTCAATGCTAGCTCCACCCAAGTGTATTTCTTTTGATGGCATCTTTGCCAGCGGTTTTTAAAAAAATATTTGTAATTTTTTCTTTTCTTTAACTGCCTCCGGGCCGGCCGAAGTAGAAAAACGGCCGGCCCGGAGCTCTCTAGATCTGAGCGGGCGTCTCTAGACGTCCGCTCAGACACGCCCCCTCGCGCGCGCCGCTCGGCGCGCGTGAGCGGGAAATTGCCGTTTATATCTGTCCCCAAAAAATGGTATAAAATTCATTTCAGTACCGCGTTGCATGACGGAATAAACGTCAGTCAAAGTATCGCAGCGCTGAACACTGAAAAATGGCCTGGCCAGGAAGGGGGTCTAAACACCTGGTCTTGAAGTGGTTAATCTTCTTTTTTTTAAAATACATTTTAATCCAATTTTCACCTTTTTTTTCCGATTTTTTTTATTTCACTTATTTTCGAATCTGCTCGGTACAAAAGAGGTATTCGGCTATTCACTAACTGTCGTTCGGTCCCTATGAGAATAGGGGCGAACGGCAGTGAGTGAGCTTCCGGAGCTTCGGCTCAGCCGTTCCAGATGTTGGGTCGGCTGAGTCGAACTCCTCCTGCATTTTGGCTCAGCCGATGTACGGGAGCCAATGTATGGCTGATTTTAACCGATATACTGAAATCGGCCATACTGAGCACAAGTGAATAGCCGAATAGCCTTTAGCTCACTTCACTTTGGCTGGGTTATTCACTCTTCGGCAGCTTTGAGAATAACCTTGTTAGATACCAAAATATATATATATATGTTGTAAGGTACTTAAAAAAACGTACGATCTGCCTATCTTGCATAGGCAGATCGTACTTGCGATGATCGCAAGCCACGCCCCCTGAGGGGCGGGCTTCCGATGACCGCAATGCCGAACGGGCAGTGTGCGCTTGCGCACACCGGCCCGTCCGGCTGTTATCGTACGGACATGCCACAAACCCGCCGAACATCGTACGATGCTCGGCGGGTTTCCGAACATGTCCGTAAGTTTAAAGTCGTGCGACCTTACAGTAGTAGAGGTCGCACGGCTTCCACACACCTTACGATAATCGTACGATCGCGGGATTTCCCGCGATTATCGTACGATTATCGTAAGGTGTGTGGGGACCTTTAGCCATCATCTATAAACTACAGATCTCCCCTTACCCCAAGTAACGAAAGTGAACATAAAAAGAGTTGGTTGTACTTCAACCTGGGTGACAACCATGACTGCCCCCATGGAGACAGGAGAAGATTGAGTGGAGCCACCCAAGGACATGAAATGTGTTATTGGAGGGATAACCAGGGGAAAGTAAAGACAAAAAGCCAGAGGACAGAAAACACATCCAGCCACCCAATCTAAGGAATAGTAAGATGCAATTTATTACATTTTTGTTTTGGGATTAGAAACACTTTAATTGATGGTAGTAAGTCCCATATATGAGATGATTCCTTTTTTTTATTAGACTTTTATACATATGGCTTTTAAAGAAAAATGTGGATTTTTTTTTAAAGACATGAGTACAACATTCTTTAAAAAAAGTACTAATGATACATTAGGATATGGTAAAAATACTTTAGTAAAAACAGGAGGACTGTTCGGTAATGACTAAATTGTAGGTTCTAAAGTTCTGAACATTTTCAGGCCTACAGTAATTTCATTTTGTGTGGATAAGTAAAAAAAAATAAAGATTACAAATGTCACTAAATGTGAGAGATGTTTGGATGGAATATGATGTCTAAGATAACAGCTTCCCTTAGTGACTTGAAAGTTTATTTCTTGCCATCTTTACTTTTGAAAAAGCCTTCCAAATATCTTTGTTCCTCAAACTATAAACCAGAGGATTCAACATAGGAACCACAACAAGGTACAGCATGGAAAGCAGCTTGTCTTGCTCTTTTGTATGTTCTGATTCTTGTTTTAAGTATAAAAAGATGCTCGGGACATAAAATATTATGATAGTGATAAGCTGGGAGACGCATGTGGAGAAAGCTTTGAGACGTCCATCTCTAGAATGTATTTTTAATATGTTGGAGATGATAAAACCGTATGAGGTTATGATAAGTGCATAACTCTAAGTGATATGATGTGATATGATAAGTGCATATCTCCTCAGGAGAGGGGACCTAAAGTTCTCCATCAGGTCCCCTCTGGTGATTGACAGCAGCAGGGTGCGGGTGCAATGGCTAGTTTGCTATTGGCTATTGCAAATTGAAATAGCCAATAGGAATCTAGCTGTGCATTCCTATGTTTTTTTTTATTATTATTCTGACGGAAGCAGAACCGCCCGGCCAATAGAAAACAGTTGGGCAAAAAAAATATTTTTTGGCCCATTGGAATGCATTGCTAGATTCCTATTGGCTATTTCAATTTGCAATAGCCAATAGTAAACTAGCATTGTACCCGCCCTGTGCTGCAGTTCTCCATCAGGTCCATCAGCAGAGGGCGGGTACAATGCTATTTTACTATTGGCTATTGCAAATAGAAATAGCCAATAGGAATCTAGCAATGCATTCCAATGGACAAAATTTTATTTAATTTTTTCTATTCTGACATCGCTCCGTGTCAGAATAAAGAAAAAAAAAAGAAACAGCAGTGTTTCCTGCTCCCTGGGAAGCCGGGAGCGGGAGGTCCTGTCTCTATGATCGTAATGCTCGCATGGATCCGCCCACCTGATGCAATTGCCTTATTTTACTTGTAAGTGCATTTTAATCATTTTAAATAAATTTATTCTGAATACTACACTATGGGAAGCATTTCTTCTCTCTCTGAGTACAAGAGAAGATGGAGGAATAGTATTATACAGTTTTGGAAAGATAAGCCAGAGTTGGGAGGAATTTACCCCAATTTATTGTCGGATCAAAAAACAAAGGAGAGGATTTGGTTCTATTTATATCAACAAAGCGCTAATTGTTCATCTGAAATACGGTGAGCAATAGGAGTCGGTGAGTGCGGCCAAAACCTATCTCTGAGCACGGTGGAGACTGGAGAGCGCTGATCCACTCATTGTTTATGTATTCACGGACGTGGTGTGGATTATAAAAGTTGGAAGATATATCCTCACATATTTCAAGGACTTTATTGTATCCAGAAGTAATGGACTTCACATGTGGTTATGTAGATTAAGAGGGAGTTGTACATCACTTGGGAGATTTAATACAGGACTTCCTATATGTACACATTCTATGAGATGTACTAGCACAAGTATATATTTTTGTTATTCACACTTTTTTTTAATCTCAATGTTTATCAAGGCTTATAGTGTCTAGACTCTAGACCATTAGACCAAGAGTTTTTTCTGAAGAATTATTAGCACAGGCCTTGTGCAACACAGGTGTTGTGGATAACACAAAATAGTTTTATCACTTTGCGATAATTTCACAATTTTATAACATTTTTCTCACATTTTAGGAATATATTTTTTGAGTTTGTGAAGTGCAGTGCTATTTTTCTTTTTACCAAATTATTCATACTTCACTCCTGATACATATATAGACAATATCTATCTGAGCATTTGAATTCAATCCAAGATGCCCAGGTCTTACAGTAACTATAATAATTAGCCTTCTTCATATGAGTTAACTCCTCAAGAAATCTCACCCTTAAGCTGAATAGAGTTCTGAAAAAGGCAACAAAACTAACAAAGAGGCTGGAGCAGTGACGTGCAGTAAGGTCCAGACTAAGTGGGGCATTCCCCCTTTTATGTTGAATGGTATTAGTGCAACTCTTAATCGAACCCACAATTTCAGCAAAAATTACTCTTAAGTTAATTTTAGTGCCAAAAATACAATTTATTACCCATGTTTTTCTTTTAAAAATATACAAAAGATGAGGTTATACTAAGTAAAAAGACATGTCAAGCTTAAAAATTGTGTGTGCCCGTGAAGAAAGAAAACAAGGCAGCCACACCATTAAAGTGACATTAAACCCTCAGATTTTTTAACATAAACCAATACTGTAATGTGCGCCTTACTGTAATCCATGGTTGTTTCCCTTCTCTTTGCTGCTCTTCCTTTTAAATCCTCATGTCTTCTCATGCTGGGGGAGAACTTCCCTTGGCAGTTGAGTGCCTCTTCCTGTAGTGCTGGCTCAGGTTGCAAACCTACACACAGACACCATGTATCCATTTCAGAGACAAGGCAGTCTGCTGCAAAACAGAAGTTCTGCCCAGCATGAGAAGAGATACGGATTTAAAAGGAAGAGCAGCAAAGAGAAGGGAAACAACCATGGATTACAGTAAGGCGCACATTACAGTATTGGTTTATGTTAAAAAATCTGAGGGTTTAATGTCACTTTAAAGGACTGGTAAGCTGCAAAAAGGATATGAGTAAAAGAGTAAAATATTAGGTGTTGCTTAACATGTAGAAGGTTTCCTCCATTCTGAAGTTCTAAATGTTTTTGAGTACTCTCATCTTGTGTGAATAAATAAACAGCTCAAGATCACAAATGTGACTAGAGATATGTTTGGAATGAATATGATGTCTAATATAGCAGCTTCACTTAGTGCCTCAAAATTTTCCTTCTTGCCATCTTTACTTTTGAAAAAGCCTTCCAGATATCTTTATTCCTCAAACTATAAACCAGAGGATTCAACATAGGAACCACGACAAGATACAGCATGGAAAGCAGCTTGTCTTGCTCTGTTGTATGTTCTGATTCTTGTTTCAAGTATAAAAAGATGCTCGGGACATAAAATAATATGACAGTGATGAGGTGGGAGACGCATGTGGAGAAAGCTTTGAGACGTCCATCTCTAGAATGTATTTTTACTATGTTGGAAAAGATAAAACCGTATGAGGTTATGATAAGTGCAAATAGTATAAAGCCGAAGACAATGTCTTCAAATAATAATAAAATCTTCCGGCTTTTAGTGTCACTAGAGGAAAGGGAAATCATTGTATTGAGGTCACAGAAAAAATTGTCAATGTCACGAGATTTGCAAAACAATAACACAGATATAAGCAAGGACAACATCAATGAGTTAAATGCTGCAATCATCCAACAAGAGGCAGCCATTGAAGCACAACGTTTTTCGCTCATAATTAGGTAATACTGTAGCGGCTTACATATTGCCAGATAGCGGTCATACGACATTGATGTCAGGATAAAATTATCACCACCAGCACATAGCAAATTGAAAAACAGTTGAATCATGCAACCATCAAAGGAGATTTTGTGATCTTGTGTTAGAGTGATCATAAGTAATTTTGGGATGTAGGTAGAGGAGGATGCCACATCCACGAGGGAAAGATTAAACAGAAAAAAGTACATTGGGGTGTGTAAATCTGGTGTCACATAAACAAGTATAATAATAGTGAGATTTCCAAGTATGGTCAATAGATACATCAATAAAACTCCAAGAAAGATTGAAAACTGTCCAACTGGAGATGCTGTAAATGCCAAAATATAAAATTCCTCTTCTGCACTTTGATTTGGACAAGCCGTCATCCTATCTAGTTGATAATGTATCATATTATTAATAAATCTTTTCTAAATTGAAACACATGCATATAGACAGATTTCAACCTGAACTACATAATACTGGCAAATCAAAGTCAGCATTTCAAGTATGAGCATAGGAAAAGTTTATATTTTGCAGAAGAGAAAGCAGCATCCCATACACATGTCTGCAGATCTGTGGTTGTTTCAGTCCTTTGATTTTAGTAAGGCTTGTAAGAACCTGTATTAAAATGAGTTCAAGGAAATCTTTTGGGGATTTTAAAACCTGCTGGGAAATTAAAAAATGAAGCTGCACTAGGAGATTTTTTTCAGTTACAAAAATATCTGACCTGAGGTGAACTAATAGAAATGCATGGTAGGCAAACAGCAAGACACAACACATTAGAAGAACATTTCCAGGATAACAAAACCTAAACCATAGCCCTTATTGCAAGTCCAAAGAGATACAGTAGGTCTGCCTACAGCAGTGGTTCTCAACGTTTCTAGGGCCGGGAAACCTTGGTAACATTTGCCAAGTTGTGGTGACCCCCAACGGTAAAATTTAGGGTTGACGCGGCTGCTGCAGCGACATCTGGCGTCGTGGCGGGAGAACTGACACTACTGCGCTAGGAGAGGGCTGAGGAGGACTCTCACCGAGCACAGCAGAAATCACACAGCGACCCACAGGTTGAGAACCGCTGTTCTAACAGCTAAAATGGCAAACCATATAACACAAGCCGAGGGTGTCAGCTTTTATTATTAATAATAATGATGATAATCTAATAGCTATCTAATAGTGGGAGACTCCCGGCGACCCCTGGAAAATTGTCATTCGACCCCCGAAGGGGTCCCGACCCACAGGTTGAGAACCGCTGGCCTACAGCATCATATGTACAGTATAAGAAAACAAGCGAGGATGATGGCACCCCTATAAGTCCTAACAGAGAAAACTGAAATATATTATATCTATAAGAGGTCCAATTCTTAAGTGGCCATACCAAATTATGCATATTTCACTTCTGAGCATACATAGACAATTAGGATTATTCACGAATGAGCCGAAGGATCCAGCCATAGCTTTGGCTCACTTCGGCCGCCGGAGCCCTTTGGATCAGTCGAACTGAAGAGCTGCTGTACGGGCTATTCACCATAGCCCATATAACAGATGAAGGAAGCTGAGGGGCTCAGCCGAGCCGAAGGCATATGCTTTGGCTCGTCTGAGCCATAGTGACAGGCGAATGGCGGAGAAAGGTCGGCCGAAGCTGACCGATCGCCACTTAAATGACAGCTGGGCAGAGCCAGCCATGATCTCACGGCTCGCTCAACCCATTTGTAATGATAGATCAACATCCCCAAATGATCTGGGGATGATGATCTGTCATTAAACAATAACAACTGGGAGGAGCCGGCCATGACATCATGGCCGGCTCCACCCAGTTGTTATTTATTGCCCGTGACCTGCTAGAAGACTCTAGCAGGTGCAGGCCAATTGGAAACAGTTGGCCAGAGCTAGCGATGATATCACCGCTAGCTCCGCCCAATTCTTTTTATTTTGCCGGCATCTGTCAGATGTTTCATTATGCGGTGGGAGTTTGTCGCGTGCTGTCGGGTCGGTGTGTGTCATTTTCTTTTTCTTTAATATATATGTATTTTTTTATTTTCCTATTTAAAAAAAAAAATGTAAATAATGTTTCAACATTTTTTTTTCATTCATTTACCTTTTTTTATATTCTGCTCGCTACCTAAGAGGTAGCGAGCAGAATAGCCCAGCTGCATTCGGCTATTCACTTACTACGGTTCAGCCCCTATGAGAATAGGGGTGAACGGCAGCAAGTGAGCTGCCGGTGCTTCTGCTCAGCCGATCCAGATGTTGGAACGGCTGAGTCAAACTCCTTCTGTATTTCGGCTCAGATGAACATGCAGAGCATGTTCGGCTGACCAAAGGCAGCAAAAGGCAGCTGATGTACCACTGATTTTAGCTGATGTACGGCTGAAATCAGCCGTACAAGGCTGAAGTGAATAGCCGAACAGCGTTCGGCTCACTTCACTCGGGCTGGGTTTTTCACTTGGCTGCCTTCATCAGCTAAGTGAATAACGTCCAATATCTCATAATATACAGGGGTACATGTACTCTTAAGACTGAGATGATACATGGACCTATACATACACACACATCAGCAAAAGGTTGGACTTGATGGACTTATGTCTTTATTCAACCTCAAATACTATGTAACTATCTCTATAAACATTTGAATTCAATCCAAGATGCCCAGGTCTTATAGTGACTATAATAATTAGCCTTCTTCATATGAGTTAACTCCTCAAGAAGTCTCACCCTGTCAGTTTATTCAAACCATTCATTAAATGAAGGTACACAGGGAGATCTTCAGTGGTGAGGTATAAACATTTACCAAGAAGGGAATCAGAGTTTTCCTCAGGAGAACTAGATGTATCATGAAATAAACAAGACCATGGAGCACAATTAATGACCAGACCACTAATATTCAATTTAAAATCCATAACTCTAGATCAAAATGATTGAATCTGTGGGAAAAGCCTCTATATATGAGTGAAAGTACCTATAGAGCCACAATCCCTCTAGCACAGAAGAGAGATCAATGGGCAACTTGCACGGACCTTCGGAGGAACAAAATTCCACCTCGCCAGAAGATTAAAATGTTGTATCTCTGATTTCTAGTGCAAATAGCGACAGAATTCCTCAGTAAGGAGGATTGTCTCTAAATGGTCTCTGTCTATAGACTGCTTCTAGATTGCAGCACACTTGCTAGGAACCTCCTGGATGACAGCTGAATAGCCCTGTAGGGCTTAGATGACATACAGGAATGAAGCTGAGTTATCTTTGCAATACTTTAAGAAGTGCTCAGGAGGACTTCTTAAATTTGTGACAGTTTGGAGGTGTTATAATGTTGCAAACTGGATGCAAAACTGATTGAAAGTGGGTGCTGCAGTGACTGCGGATCACTTTGTTTGCCTGATGAAAGAACTAGGTTAGGTTCCGAAACATTGCCAAACATTGTGGGAACTTCTGAGATATCAATAAAGGAGGTTTGACATTCTTGAACCTTGGAGTGCCAGTGATCTCTTTATTTTCTCCAAACATGAATATGTTGCAAGAACACTTAGAATAAGGTGAGAACAATTGTGGTTAGTTAGCATGATTTTTTGGTGTTTGTGAGAAAAAATGTCACAAACATATTAATAAATTCCCCCCAATTAATTAAGGTCTAGATTTATCAAGTTTAGCATAGTGATCCAGTTATGCCTATACAGATTTGATAATTTAGGAGTAGGGAGATATCTAAAACTGCAGCCCATTCGGCTGCCACTGGCATACGTCGTTCCCTCTCTGGAACCAAAATATTTAAAATCTCAGACTTTGTGAGGTTTATATTGAAATGAGAGAGTTCACCATATAATCTGAGGTCTTTCAATAATTGTGGAAAAGAAAGTCTAGGATTCCAAACTATCATTTTGTAACCGCTTTAACCGAAATGCAATTGAACATAATTTCTGTTTATTTTATATAAAAATGTTGGGCTGGCGGCATACTACCCCATTCGGAGCCGGACCTGCAGTCAGTGCCTTGGCATCATATAGCCATCTGCTAGTCAGATGTGCAATCACAGCGCCCGGCAGAGGGAAGTCTTCCAGCATTGACTCAATTTGCAGCTCTGAGATGTCAAATAACTGAATGCCAAGAGATGCAAATAAAATGAATGTTAGAAAATGTTAAGTGTGTTGTGCAAGTGATGTACAGCATACGTCATTGGCAGCAAAAGTGTTAATGACTGGTACACACAGTCGCTCACATTTAGGTTGAACTTGATGGACCTGTGTCTTTATTCAACCTCTAATACTACATATGTGAAAATATGCCATGTTCTTTGAAGAATACTGTAGCTGTACCTTTACAAGTCATTCTTAAATTAAAATTCCTGAGTGCAGTTTGCTTGGTTAAGCACTTTACTCCTGGTTCCAGTGATCTTCATTGAGTGGCCCTGCCCAGGGCTCCACAGCTTTCACTTTAAAAAAAATGTCACCCGGGGTCCTATTTTTTTATGATTAAAGTTTTTATTTTAATATAACAGAGTTACACAAAACACAGCAGTATACAGCAGTATACATAAACAATGAGTTCCATGAAGAATGTGGTAAACATACAAATGGCAAAAAAAGTTATGCCGAGAGGCAGATATCTAGGCATTGATTATTCAGAGAGAATCCACTGATAGGCCTAAACGTTAGAAAACAATGACAATTTTCATTTGACCAACAGATCTTCTTCATTGAATTATAGAACAATGGTATCATTAGCAATAGACACTGTTACTGTATTGTAGTCTTACATCCATTTACATGAAAAAAAGGAGAAAGAAAGTAGGAAAAGAGGAGAAAGTAAACTGGAAATGGATAGAGAGTGTAAGAGGAAATAGGATTAGGGAAAGTTAAAGGAGAACTATGGGGTTAAGTCTTTTCCCCATAGTTCTCCTTAGGGTAACGGGAGGACACAAACTAGCGTCCTCCCGTCACCCTAGGCTCAGTATACCGCGAGCTGTAGCTCGCGGTATACTGAGACGCCGCAGTATACCATTCTCCTTTAATCTGGAGATAGTGAAATAGAGTCTTGGAGGGGAGGGAGAATTATTCCTGGAGTTGTGGGTACGGTTTAAGGGTCATAGTTGTAAAATCTAAAATGTCTTTAAAATGGAACATATGTCTCTCTAGCCAACACTGAGGACCAGGCAGTAGATAGCCCCAAGGGAAGGGATGGGGATCGTAGAAAGGAGGTAAGAGAAGAACATCTAGAGGCCAAGTTGTGTGTGTAACTATATTTAAACTATACATCTCTAGTACATTGCATAGAGCTGAGGAGTGTGGAAGATGGTATGAGGGGTGTGGAAGACCAAAGTAGGGAGTTTGGGTGGATAGGTGAGAGCCACAAAGACTCAATTTAGGCGCAATTTTTTGAGCAGCTGTATAATAGTAAA